AGCCAAACTTTATACTTGAGACAGAGCTTTGAAGACGACATTTTATCAGGCTATAAAATGATTTTACCAAATTAGACCTTTGACTAAGCAATAAAGTGAGTTTTTATCGCGTAGTTTTCTAAGCAATATGTAATAGGAGTGAATAACATTAATGTATTTGGTTGGATCAGGAGTGAAGCGAGAGACCAGGGGTCCGGCACAACACGGTTCACTTTACACCTCTAGCTATAAATAATGAAACTTTTGAAAAGGTTCATGACTTTGTCCTCAATGACCAATAAAGATTATCATTTAACAACTAGAGCATGTCTAGTTTCTGATGGCAGTGACCCAGAGAAAGTCAATCAAAAGATCACCATTTAACATTGTAAAAGGGGAAATGACAAAACACCAGTCCATGGTCAACATTCAACAACCCCGCACAGCTCGGAAGNAAAGGTCACAAACACAGAGAGAATTTTTATTGAAATGGAAAGGAGCAAAAAGTAGTCCACTGGTAGAATTTGCTGATATACTGAAGTATAGACCCCGATTAACAACAGGGTATTATATTCACTATTTAGAGAATTTGCTCATTTTATTTGGCCGGGCCCGGCTTGGCTCGGCTCGGGCCGAAAAAAGCTCGGTCCAAAAAAGAGCCCGAGCTTTTTTTTCCCGGCTCGGGCTCGACTCGACTCGACTCGGCTCGGCTTGTTGCCACCGCTAGATACTTCAGGCGAAACAAGTGTCGCAGAGGACTATTAGAGTGATGATGATCTTTGGGTTATTTTTGATAGCGAATCTAAATCTAACGAGGATTGAATTCTAGATTCAGTTTGTACTTTTCATATGTGTTCCAATCGGGATTTGTTTGCAACATATGACAACATATGAAATAGTTTCGAAAGGTGTCTTTGTCATGGGAGACAATGTACCTTGTCGTGTAGCTGGTATTGATAGAATCAGACTTAAACTGTTGGATGGGACATTTAGAACACTTGATCACATTTGACATGTTCCAAATTTGAAGAAAAATCTCATCTCGTTGACTACTTTTGATTCAAAAGAATACAGTTCTTTGGTGTGAGTGGAGTTTTGAATGTTTGCAAAGGTGTCTGGGTTGTCGTGGAGGGATGGAAAAAGTCATAGTTATACGTCTTGCAAAATTGTGCAAAATCCGTGAAGAACGATCAACAGACTAACAAAATTTGATTTTATGGCTCTTGAAATGATTTAATAATAACTCATGCTTTATTTGTTTCTCATCCTATTTTGCAAAAGATCCCAATCTTTGAACATATTTGTCCAAGATGCCTATAACATAGTCCTTGTTAGAGCCTCGTTATTTTAAAAATCATTTTTCAAAACTTATTTTCAACTACATATTCTTCAAATAAAATAATTTTACATGTAAATCTATAATTTTTTTCTACTTTTTAACCACACACTCCAAAAGATCACTATTACAATATATATTCTCTCAGAAAATGGGGTTCAAACAAACATTATTGCCCGCGTCCAAAAAATTCCCAGCTGAGTGGCAGTCCTTAAAGTTTCCTTTTTTTTTTTGCCCTTCTATTCCAGAATTGTCAATTTGTTGCAATTCTGAGAAAAAAACTTTGCTTGCTTTAAATTAGTCCCTATATTTTCTGGATTTGAAAAATTGCCTTCTATTCCAGAATTGTCAATTTGTTGCAATTCTGACAAAAAAAACTCTGCTTGCTTTAAATTAGTCCCTATATTTTCTGGATTTGGAAAATTAGTCCCCGTTAGAGTCTCGTTCTTTTAAAAATCATTTTTTTCAAAACTTATTTTCAACTATATATTCTCCCAATATAATAATTTTACATGTAAATTAAAAAAACTTCTCTACTTTTTAAACTCACATACTGCAAAAAATCATCATTACAATATATGTTCTCTTAGAAAAATGGGATTCAAACAAACCCTTACGACCCTCGTCCAAAATATTCCCAGCTGAGTGGCCGTCCTTAAAGTTTCCTTATTTTGCTCTTCTATTCCAGAATGGTCAATTTGTTGCAATTCTACCAAAAAAAATCTGCTTGCTTTAAATTAGTCCCTATATTTTCTGGATTTGGAAAATTAGTCCCTCGGTTTATGTTGCAAGAAGGTCCCTGCATTTAAATTTTTTTTTTTTTACTTCATTGTAATGGATTGTTTCGTCATCAGAAACAAGATGTATTAATTAATAGATAATTGATAATAGAAAACGTTAAGGGCAAAAGAGCGAAAACTTTAACGTTCATTGCAATTAAACCGTTGTGTGGTTAACAAACCCCGATTATAATTACCCCTTCATTTATAATGATCCCTTTTCCAGAAACTTAATTTTTGTAAATCCCATAGTGTTGCTTTGTGATTCAAAAATCATCAAGTATATGAATAACATACAAAAATGCTACTTGTACACACTTGGTACACAACTTGTTACACAACCCTCTCACGTGTGTGTTGTCCACACATTATGGGACCCACACACATGTGAGAGGGTTGTGTACTAAGATGTATATCAATGTGTGTAAGTGTAGCAAGGTTCAATAACATATGAAATTGCCGCATACGAGTTGACATTCCACATTGTAAGACCCACACACATGTGAGAGGGTTGTGTACCAAGGTGTGTGTAAGTGTAGCAAGATTCAATAACATATGAAATTGCCGCATACGAGTTGACATTTGAAATTAGTACAAATCACCTAAAAAGAAGTATAAATAGAGGAATCGCTGAATAATTTAATGTGTATCAAATTTGGTATATGGCCATTGAAAATAAGTGACAACTTTGTCTTTGTGGAGTTGATTCTATCTTAGGTTTGACTCATAAATTGGTCTTTTAGTTGACCCTTTCTGAATAATTTCCTCCTCTCCTTTTAATTTCATTTTGCTCACTCCACTACCTTTCTATAACCCCATCTATATGATCTTATTAATGGAAAACATATCGTTTGAAATCAACTATAGCAACAACAAATATTTGATTTATTCAAACATATTTGAAACAAAACACGGTTTAAACACACGTCTTCAGGCGAGAACATAAATGTTCATATTTCTTCATAGAACAACTGTTTGAAAGTCCCAATATGATCTGTCTGCAGGCAGAATGCAGCCATTAATGATCCATCCCCTTCTCGACTAGGAATAATGAAAGATTTCCCGTCAAAACCCATTTCTGCAGGGCCCATGTGAATGAGATCTCCCCACCCAAAATCAGCTTCATATACAGACATAGATGTCCAGCTTGTGATTTCCATATTGGGGTTTCCATAGAAAGATCCCAATGAATAGCCTTCGGTAGGAAAATTCCGAAGCCAGGAAATATCTTGTTGATTCACGACAAGTAGATATGATCTTATATATTCGTCTGTTACCTTTTCGACTGATTCTCGTATTCTACTTGAAGCGTAAGCCAAGGGGTTTGAGAGTAAGTCTCCTGCTGTTGCTACTGCTGCTTGGCGTATAACGGCATTTCCAAAGTATCCCTTTGGTATTGGTGGCTGTATTCTATTTCTCAAATCGACTGCCAAGTGTAATCTTGTTAGTTGCTCGTTTTTATGCCCCCGCGCCTTGGATGCACACCTCCACATGTGTCCGGCCACAGCCTCGTACCTATATGGCAAGCAAAATAGTTTTATGTAATAGAATGCTACGTTGAAATTCACTATCATCTAAATGAGTGCAAAGCACAAGTAGTGTTACACAACATTATTATACAGTCCATGTTTAATTCAGCTAAAATGTTGATTAAAATATAATTTAAAATTAACAATTAATTTTAATCACAGATTTCATTAGATTCAAAACAAACGAAAAGGAAACGAAAGATAAAATATAAATCATGGATCAACTAAGCCCTCTCGAAAAGTACACTAATTTTTATCAAAACTTACTAAAAATCTGTTTCTTACCTAACATCAAGATATTTTTCTTATCGTGAAANGAATTTTGTTGTCTTTTTAGCAAAATTTTACATAATTTATGTTATATTGCATTGTGTAGGTAAAACATTATGTTTGATGAAGAATTGGAGAAAAGAAGCAAAATATGGTGAAAAATGGTAAAATCCAAAATTTGAGGACCAAATTACAAATATTCAGTAGTTGATTTGAACAATAAGACAATACTTTAAAAATTGTTGAGAGACAATTGAATGGAATTAGAACTCAAAAAAGAATGGAATATGATCAAAATATTATCAAAATCAATTTTCAATAGCACAAATTATATTTCAAATTTTTAGTCAAATATTGAGACTCATTTTTTTGCATAATAAATGTTCGAATTGAAAATATTCTATTTCTAACAAAGTTATAGCCATTGATTTATCTTTTTAATGCACTTTGAATCGCCTCAATTAGAAACCAGGAGAGACTATTATGATCAAAATACTGAATGCCGTGTAGAGACAAAAAATTCGCGTGCGAAGACAACTTTTCTATTCAATTGGAACTTTCGGAAACCAATTTTCTACTCCTACAACTAACTAACAGCAGAATACATATTTGAGACTTCTCATACTCCAATATTCAACCATTATTATCATCAAACGAGAAAAAAATATCATAGTTTTTGTGTTGGAATTGAAGGGGAGACTTGCAAGAATTCAATCAACTAAAGATTCAAACTTAATTTTTGGACAAATAAAAGAAGGAGCAAGTGGAGATTCATCAAAAAAACCATTGAAGAGATTGAATATTCATCTTCATTTTCACAATTTATAAAAAATGGGGTTATGTCTTTCCACATAAATGTGTTAAGCTAATTTTATATATTATTAGGATGAGATAAACCATTGTTGTGATATTTTTAGTTTGTAATTAATTATTTTGACTTTAATTTGATTTGATTTGTAAATGTTTATTATTAATTTTATCATTCTTTTCAATAACTCGATCACCGATTGAATTGTTAGTGTATTATATTACCATAGAGAGAGACAATATGGTTTAAATATAATAAAATAAATATCGTAAGGTTCGATAGAGGATATAGATATACTTCTATGTTTTATATGGTTTCAATAGGTGTTCTAACACGTGTTAATACATTTATTATGTTTGCATCTTTTATCGAGAGATAGAATGGTCACATGAGTAGAATATATTTGATTGTTATCGAGAGAGACTTTCAATTAAATTAAAAACATTGACCAACATGAATAATTTCAAATTGTCACTTTAATTGTTACATTAAAAATAAAATAATAAGACGATATATTAATAATGCATCTCACATATTTGAAAAACTTATTTATTTACTTTCATTAAATTAATTGATAATTTAGGTATGAGTATAGAAAAATCACAAAATTTGTTTCGTGTTGACGCACTGGACAGTATAAGTCGGACCGTTGCTGATCAAAAAAAGAACTGTTGAAAAATTGTTTATTGCAAAATAGCTTACACCTTTACAGGACAAACAGTGACAAGTACAGTACAATTTCCCAGTTTGCCCTCCACATTACACATTTGCACAAACCTTACCCAATTCACTGAGGATTAAATGGTCCATTTCGTGCAATTTCCACGCTCACACTTCTCAAGATAGCAATCAGTGGGCTTAAGATTTGACGCAAAAATTGATTTTCAATTGAATTATTCTTGTTGTACAGAACTATTCATCTACCAGATGAATCCAGATACTCACATGGTGGGTTCCACGCTGAATAAAAAATGGCCAAAAATCGCACCCACCCCCCCCCCCCTCCCTCCCTATGTTGTGAGAGTCTGGCAGCGTGTACAGAAGCCATGCAGCAGACTTCTTTTCAATTGGGATAATCTCTCCCAGACACACCTCAATTACATTTGCAATCAATTTTAATTCGGTTAAACACATAGTCGTCGTGTGTTCGACGCTCTATTCATCATTATATTACTTACCACGATCTCGTGCATTTACGGGTTCTCAAATGATCAAATGGTTTCTGAAATTCCAAAAGATGAGAAGATGATTGCAATTATATTACCTGGTATATGGACGTATGGTATTCTTGTATGGTGTATCCTCATTGGCCTTGCTCTTCAGTTCATCAACTTGTTGTTTGCTTAGCTTTAGCATAGCAACCGTCGTTGGCTTCTTCCGCTCCTCCATATTGTCCGATTGCCCTACCAAGAGCGGTGGTGGTGTCAACTCTATGTGGCCGAATTTCGGCGTGGACGGTGGTTCCCCAAATCGCAGAATTTTCCTGTCGAGAATAGGGAAGATACCAGTCATCTCCCCGCACGCAATTTTGGCCCATTCACTAACAAAATGCATTGCACTTATGCCATCTACTAAAATGTGTGAAATGCCCAAGCCGAGACAAATACCCCCGCAACTGAATTTAGTGAGCTGTACCAAAACCAAAGGTTGTTCATGAATTGGAGTAGCATGATATTCTACTTTTGGAATAAGCTCTCTCATTGCTTCATTTGGAACAAAACCTTGAATAGTATAGTCTTCAATCATCAATTCAGACTCAGCTTCCACCAGAGTCGCTCCCTCGGCGTTGCAATGAAGTTCAAGGCGGCCTCCGCCAATCTCATGAAGGCGCCCCGCTAGCGGGTAGAAGAGTACAAGTGCTTTGCTCATAGACTCTTTTAGAATTTGGAGTGCATAAGAATGCGGAATATCCTCGTTGAGGCGATAAAAGTAGACAGTGGAAGCGTGAATCAGTGTCTTAGTTTGATCAATTTCCGATAACTGCAAGATCTCATTTGGCGTCGACTCGGCGGGTTGTACTGTGTAAGTTGCTGCCACGTTCACCATTTTCGTACAGGACAGAGGAGAAAATGGAGTCTACGGAGGCCTTTTGCTTTCCACTCTTTAATGACCAGGAAGTAAACAACGTGTCTCATTCTCAACGGTATTTCATAAGGGACGCTGCTACACGTACAGGAGCTCATTTTCACATGCTCCTGCCCGGCCACTCACAGCAGGGGGGGCCAAGGCGATTTTTTACAATATATTTTTTTTAACGGACCCCACATGTGAGATGCCTGTAAGGCCTCGATAATAAATGCCCTGTACTCAAGGCATTTCTCTTTTATAAGTAGGATCTTTTCACGAGTACATCAAAATTTACATTTAATACGCGGCATATTATCATTTGTCAATTTAAAATACAATCAATTTTTTTTTATCTAACATTCCCTCCATGTCATTTTCGGTAACCGGTTATGTACATTTTTTATATACAAGTAGCAAATCCTTTTATATGTTAGGGGGTGTTTGTTTCTGATTTTGAGAATTGATTCTCAAATCAATTCTCATTTTCAACCACACATTTTTCAATAAAATAATATTTTCCATCACATCAATAATTTTTTTTCTTTTTCAACCATACATTTCCTATCATATCACTATTCAAAATCAATTTTTTCCCTAAAAATCCCTACCAAACAAGCACTAAATAATAAAATAAGTTGGCCTTAATTTTTAAAAAACTATGCTTTAAATAGTATTTTTTTTTGAAGAATATGCGGTTAAAAAGTAATGAAAATTTTTAAATTTATGTATAAAAATATTTTATTGTGCAAATGTATGGTTAAAAATGAGAATAAAAAATAAATTAAAGTAAATTAAAGACCACCAAACAGGGCTAAATAAATTTGTGTCTATCTTAACTATTTAAATTTGATTTTTTTTTTTTCAATTGGAAAAGTGTAAAATTAAATTTTAAAGCTTTGTATGTGTTTCCGTTTTGTATAGGTGATTCCATTTTTCAAAGTGCATGAAAATAAATTCGTGAAAAAGTGTGTTGAAGATCATATTACATCCATACGACATTCAAGATAGTTATATAGGACGCGATTTTGGCAATGAAAAATCAATTTTTGGGTCACATCAGACAGGCTCATTTTCTGAAGCTTTGCACGTGTTTTCTAGAAATGGGAAAAAAAGGGACCATTTTGAGATTAAAAAATTGAAACAAACATTTGCAGCCTTTGACACGTGTAAATGGGAAGGGTAAATTTGGTAACGGAAGTGTCAGTGGGTTGAATTGGTACTGCAGAGTGTCTGAAATTTTCAATTAAAAAGTTGTACAACAGCTCCTTTTTTTATTACCAACGGTCTGAATTGCAATACTAAGTCCGCCCAGACACAGCCATATTAATATCATGTTAAAAATATCCCATACTACTTTATCACTATTGTTTCCTTGTATTTTCCTTACAATATCGAGCTTACCTCGAGCCAAACATTATTGGAAGAAGCTCATCTAAAACTCGAACTAGAAAAGCTCGATTTCACAACAGATTACGTGTGACATGTGGCCCATGACATTGACTCAATCCGAGTAAATAAATTAATTTAGTTGAAGAAATTCTTATTTCTTTAGCAAGGTTAATCTAGCTCCTAAAATATATCCTTTACTGGTCTCCTAAGCTTAATCATAAATGGGTTGTCAATCCAATTATGTTCTTGTAACCTAAGTGGGAATGTTAGTGGGACGAGTAGCTCGATAGTTTGGCTCTCCTCACAGATGAGTCGAGCAACTAAAATATCGTATGAATTGCTCATCGACTCACACGAGTTGGCTCGCTTGTTTTCTCATAATCTCTGTATTACAATGCATTTTTTAAAAAAATAAATAAGAAATTGGTGGGGCGAGTGGAGCTGATTTTTTTGGAAATAAATCAAATTGTGCTTGACTTATCTATTGGCAAGTGAGCCAACTCACATGGTGGTCCGAATCGAACCAAACAACTCAACTTGGCCTATTTACATCCTTATACTCGATGCCCTTTTTCCAAAGCTTTGGTAATGATGCTAACCTTTCTATGCCCTATTTTATTCTTATTTCCTGCTTACTAAGGGTTATAACTCAAGTAGAATAGTTTATTAGACCTCAAATGTGTCCTAACTCTTGAAGGAAAATATATTTGAGCATTGACAAAATAAGTTGTACAAATAGTTTTTATATTAGCCACTGTTTGGTTCAGATAAAACCAAATTTTTACTTGATTTTAATAAAAGTTGATGGAACATGTGGTTGAAAAATTGTGAATTTTATGAACCGTATGATTAAAATAATTATTAGTTTTAATAAATTATGTTAGCCAAATGTAGACTTGTATCTTTTGGTTTCTCCACTACAACATTGAGTTGGTGTTGAAACATTTATTAAAATGTACTAGGGTTAATGGATTTGTGCTCTCAATGTCGAGATTGAGTGATTGATTTTAGACAAAGTGCCCCTTTTCAAATTGAACATCTTTTAGGGTTCTGCATTTTTAGGCTTATAATATGCTGTGGATTTTAGGATTATTAAAACATATCGACAAGATAAATTATTTTTATATATTAAAAAGTCACATATAAAAAGTTACATGTTGTGAATTTTGATTTAAAATATATATATAATCAAGTATCTTGACAAATTGAAGAAGACAAAAGCAAAAAGAATCCACTTTTTTTTTAAAAAGACGGATACTTTCTCAAAAGAAGATAAAGAAGAAGACAAGTGGGAAACAAAAGTAGCCTACTTTATTTCTTTTCTTTTCAAGATTCTTGTATCAAATTCAATGTAATTTTCAAGTCCGAAATCTTAGTATAAGTATGTGCTCATTCTAAGGTTTTAGGCAGAGCGTGAAAAATTAAGAATATTTATTTTTCTCTACATCTCAAGTTGGGATCAATTGTAACCATTTTCAAATATCAATAAAATTATCTTTTTACTTCAATCTCTTGTTCTCTTACTATTTCCATCTTCCTGAACTACATCTCCTTGTCCCTGGGCCTAATTTGGTATCAGAGCAAATAATGGGCCTATATATATATGAGTTTCAAGCTTATAAGAATCACTCAACCTAAATAATGGATGTTTCTTTTTGTCTTGTTGTTTCACATGTTCTTTGTAATTACGATGTGACAACTTTTGTAACCCTTTTTACACGAAGTTGTACAATACCAAGTATATATATTAACGAGTCATATATTTTATGAGAGTCAAGCTTATAAGAATCACTCAACCTAAATAACGGATGTTTCTTTTTGTCTTGTTGTTTCACATGTTCTTTGTAATTAAGATGTGACAACTTTTGTAACCCCTTTTACACGAAGTTGTACAATACCAAGTTAACGTGGCAAATGGCTCGCCAGCTTGGGAAAGCTTGAGTTGAGCTAGCTCGTGGCTCGGTGCTCGATGCTCGGGATTTCGGGGCAAAGGCTCGAACCCGAGTCAAGGTAGCTTGGCACAACTGCCTATGGCAACTTTTAAAAAATCGAGCCGGTTCAGGTCAAAAAAAGTTCAACCCTTTTTTGTTCAAGCCAAGCCCGAGCCTCGAGTTTCGGTTCACAGCTCGGCTCGATTCAACTCGACTCGTTGACACGGCTAAGTTAATGGCAGCAATACTTAGTGAATATTGAAGAAAGGACATGTACTTGCTACCAATTCCAAGCAAACATCCCATGTGCACATTCACTTTCCTTTTCCTTTAGACATAGGATTTGAACGTAGTTCTTTTTCAATTCTTTCAATTTCTTTTTAAGCAAGCAAACATCCTATGTGCACATTCACTAGAAATTATTGCAAAGAGAAATAAAGACATTGTTCAAAATATTACGGTCAAAAATGTACGTAATGACTGGAATGGAGGTGACGATGTAAAAGAAAGAATTGCCTCGGCTCCTATTACAAAAATAAAAGTCTGATGACCTAAACAATAATGAGCAACATCAAAATGAGAGAAAATACAATGCATTTGTGTAGAAGATGTGGAAAGTATGGTCACAATTGAAGATCATGCCAAACTTCGGCACCTTTGAAGAGGAATTCAAAAGGAAAATGAATTTACAAGATTTGTAAATTTTGAGTATTTGAGTTTCTGATTTTTGGATTGTTTTTTAGTTTTGCTTAGCTGAATATATAGAATTCATACTTTTTTCCATTATTAGCACTTCGGAAAATAAAAGTAATCACATTATGTCATTTTTGGGCAAAAAAAATAAAAATGACAGATTATGTCAATTTTAAATAGATATAACATGACTTGCTAGAATGTTTATCTAGCACCAATTTGATGTTGAAACAATTGATAAACCCTACAAACGTATAAAAAGAAAAGTGTTATTGATGACCACCAATTCAATAGAGCACGATATAATGTTTTCTCATTAAATGAAGTTTTTACCAGAACGTTCTCAACTACATTAGTTGAGCTGCAATCTTGTGATGTGTTGAGCTTGAGTGAGATCTAACTCGTAATCATCTATGAAAAGAAAACTTGTTAAGTAATGAAAAATCGTTCTCAACTAGATTTGAAACCTTGTTGCTGAAGAAATTGCTTCCTGATTAACTGTATAATTTACTTTTAAGTAATGAAATAATAGCTTATTATCTGTGACTTATAATTCAAGCATGTTTGGCTTAGCTTATAAGTACAGGTCAAACTTTCTTAAAAGTAAATTTTATCCTTCCACGTTTGATTTGTTATAAAATTGAACCCAAGATGATGGCCAAAAGATACTTCCGAATGCAAGAACTCTCACTCTTCCTAATGACAAGAATTAAAGAAAGTAAACGGTGTTAAAATAATTCTAAAAGGAATTTCTTTTTATACTACGTAGTACATAATAACACAATCAAAGCATTATGTAAATAATCTAAAATAACCTGGAAAATGTCACAACATCATTATTATCACCAAAACATAGAAATTTGTCTAGTTTGGTCAAGCTAACGTAGATAAGAGCTGAACCCATGAAAACTTGAATATTTTCAAGATTAGTCGATAAACCCTCCAATCATCTGTCATTCACAACTTCTGGCCATCCTAGTTGATTTCCCTTTCTTTATCTACTCCGACATTTCCATTCATACACGAAGACAAACCTTGCTCTCTTTCCCCCACCCACCAAACCAATAACTATAAAACAACAGCACAAGGATACACCACGCATACACATAGGAGATAGGGAGGGAGGCAAAGAGATTTCCATTGAGAAAGGCCATGATAGAATCAAATTCAAATACACGACTCTATAGCATATCCAAAGATTTCAGACGAATCAAAAGCTTTGACAGTCAAACTCTAATGTCGCGAAAGCAACTTAAGCAGTAATTTTGGTTGAAGAGTAATCAGGACGGTGACTATATTTAAAAGGTACAGCTTGTTTCCGTAGATAGCTGTTTCTGATATGTTCCAGCTCACCAATTAGAACCACCATCTGGGGAAGGGTTATAATCAGTTGGTCTTGTGATATTCACGTCTTCAAATTCATTATCATCTGCAACACCATGTAAATCATTAAAAATAGCTATCTAGCAAGAAATGACTCAAAATAGGATGATTTTTCTTTTAACAGAATTCTTATCCATGGAATAAGCAGTTATGGCATAAATATTATAGTAAATTGGGGAGTAACAGACATTACAGAAGAAATATTAGTTAAACCACTTCAATACTTCATACCAAACACGATCTTAAAGTCCAGTGACAGGGAAAATGATCACAGACAGCTGAATATAAGATTACTCAGCCATGCTCAGTGTTTCACTTTAAATTTCCACATTTTTGTTTAACATAAACCAAGGAAGTGATAATCACATCCACCCGAATTGCTGAAAAAACTTAGTCTCTAATATAAACTCAAAAGTTTATATCATTTTAGCATTTCAAAAGGAGTTGCACTTGTATAAATAGATAAAGTCATTGAAGACGCAAAACTTTCCCCCTGTTTTCATATGCAAAAAATATGGCGTAAATTAGTCATCTCATTTTTAAATGAGCAAATTCTTCAATAGTCGAGAATAAGAGAGACGGGGGTGGGAGGAAAGAAGAAAAGGACATACAAAATCGAGGAAATAATTTGCCAGCAGGTTTGTTAGAGGGAAGAGAAACAATTTGCCTATTTACTTGCATCACTAACTGGTAAGGACGAGATTCTTATTCGACCAAGTTCTAACTCGCAATATGTCGATTACACACCAGAGATTGGTAAGAACTGAGGGACAATGCCTCAGTAGATTCACGTCCACATGCCATAATGATAATATTCTCACTTATTAGGTTTACTTATTTTCTCCTAGAACTTACAGGAAGTTGCTCACTTACCTTTCTGTCATTACCACAGAAAACAGAGAAAAACCTTCATCCTCGACCAATTTCCACTTTCATCCCCACTCCATTATTGCAATTTATTTGAAACATAACTTGAATTCGTCTTATACATTTGATTTTATTCCTAAAGTATGACAATATCCAGATTCTGTTAAACTTCTGTAGGCCGTCAGTTTGGAACACCGATAGCACATGAAATTGTTCAATAATGCCTAGGCATTATGAGCAACCTTCAAATTTAGTTTTTACACCTCCTACTTTCAACTAAAGAGGACTCCCTCAAAAACAATTCTCAAAAGCATGGAAATCGAGAAAATCATATTATTTCCTTGCAAGGCTAAACATATAAGCGGTTCAATTTCAGATATGTATACTTGGTTAATATATAAAGAGATTCAAGTTCACCATAAGAGCAGGTCATGGCATACCACACTATTTTGTGTGGCGTTGAAAGTAGTGGAACACACATAAGCTCCACTCAAACTACAGCCAGTTTTTAACTGAAGGAATTATGAGCCACAAAAATGGAAATAGGAAAAGGAATTTCTGAACATCTTCCTAAAGTAATGCAACATTACTCTTGAGCATTTTCATTCTGCACCACTTTCAAGTAAACGGGAGGCATGACCTCAAAGAGAGATTGAGTGTCTTATGTTCCATTTTAGAAAATGAAGCCTACAGGTATCGATGTAGGAGGGAGGGAGGGAGAGAGAAGCGGAAGATCTTCGATCTTCTCCAAGAGATGAAAGTCTTTTGGTAGAAGTTAATCCTTTACATTCAAATATTATGATTTCTAAAAGAATTCCTTGGAATCTTCAATCCAAAGGTTTAGAATGGGATTTTGAGAATGCTCTGAACCCAATTCCAACCCCTGTTTGTAAAATTCTTGATCAAATTATCTCATTTCCTATGGACATGTCAAAGTTATCTTTGATAACCCATCATCTTCAAATGTCTTTCAATGATCAAATTCTTTTAGATCTAGTGACAGATCTAATAAAAATACTTTTCAATCTTCAAGATTTTCTACATCTTTCAAAGAAGTAGATTTCGATCAAAATATTCCAAAAACTCATTATCAAATTAATAAAAAAGCTGATCCAGAACAACCTAGTTCTTCAACTTTTTTCGGATATGGCACCTCCTTCAAAGAGGTTAGATCAGCAATGCCATGTCACTTCCTCTAAAGTCAAAAGTGAATTCATTACTGACAAAACCCCCGAAGTCAAAAGTTTTCGAAAATTATTTCAAAAAGTTTTTCTCAAAAAGAAATTCAATCTTACTGGGAAGAGTATGATACCTTTCTAGAGAATTTAAGTCTTTATGAGTGAGCATATTTCAAAATTTAAAACAAAAAACCCACTAAATCAAAAACTGTTCAAAACACAACTTTTTTAAAAAAGATTTAGAAAACACCTAAGGGTGATACTTTTCAATCTATTCATCCTCATATGCAAGAAATAATTGTTTCTTAAGAAAACACTGAAATTCTTGTTTCTCCTTTCAAAAGAGTATCTATTGAACGACCAGATGAATCTAGAATTGTTGCTAAAGATATCAAAAGTATTCAAACTTAGAAAATTATACTAATATTTTTCTAGAATCTGTTTGTTCTCAGCTTAACAAAATTGAATTAAATTCTGACTCTGAGACTTACTTCAAAATTTATTGACAAAGGAAAAGATAAATCTCCTGTCAATTCTTTATTCAAGCCTTGTCTTTCAAATATTATTCATCAACTGGGAAATTCAGATAGTGAGTCTAAAGTTCCTAAAGAACTAGCTCCTCAATTATCTAAATTATAATCTGATTCAAAAAATATCAATACTATTGATGAAATTGAATCTCAATTTATTGATAATGAACCGATTCATATTAATAAATTACGAGATTCAAGAAATCAGTATTCAAAAGTTCCTCCTTATTATCCAAAAAACTCTTCTCCTGATTTGCTTTTCGAAGACAAAGCAAAATTCCAAGAAGTAATCTATGGTGCTAGTGGAAAAAAGTTGAATATTCAATATAAACTTTCAAAAGTTCGTGTTTGTAATTCAAATATTTGTTTTAAAAATATATTTTATATTGTTAAAGATTTAGACTAAGAAGTAATTTTTGGTACTCCTTTATTGTTCAAATTTATATTTTTCATGAAGATTCAAAAGGTTTAACTACAAATATTTTTGGTCAAAAATTACTTTCAAATTTACAAACTCCCATTCTTACAAAGATGTAATACTTTGAAAAAAGCGTCTATTTCAAAAATGATTAATAATATTAATCTCAAAAAAAAAATTTTTAATTTTTAAAAGTAGAGATAAGATTTCAAAGAATCGAGGAACAGTTAAAAGATTCCTCTATTATTGAGAAAATCTCTCTTTTTCAAAAGCATATCGAGGATGAGATATGTTCCATTATTCCAAATGTTTTTTGGAATAGGAAAAAACATGTAGTGTCCCTACCATATAATCATGATATTCATGAATTAAATATTTCTACCAAATCATGTCCTATTTAAATGAACAAAGAATTACTTAATCAATGTATCAAGGAAATCAATAATTTACTGGATAAAAACTTATTCGACTAAGTAAATTTCCTTGGAGTTGTTTTGCATTTTAAGTAAACAATTCTGCTGAAATTGAACGAGGAGTCACTCGATTGGTTATTAATTACAAACCACTCAATGCTGCCCTTCAATGAATTAACTATCCACTACCTCAAAAGAAATACCTATTATTTTTTCTAAATTTGATATGAAATCAAGCATCTAACAAATTCAAATTAAGAAGAAGATCGCAACAAGACCGCATTCAATATTCCTTTTGGTCAATATGAATGGAATGTTATGTCATTCAGTCTCAAAAATGCTCCTTTAGAATTTCAAAAAATTATGAATGATATTTTCAATCCTTATTCAAATTTTATTATTGTTTATATTGATAATGTTTTAATCTTTTCTAAAAGTTTAGAACAACACTTCAAATATTTGAATACATTTATTCATGTCATTAAAAACAATGGTTTAACAGTTTCTGCTAAAAAGATTGTTTTATGTCAAACAAAGTATTAGATTCCTAGGTCATAATATTCATTTAGGAACTATTACACAAATTCAAAGAAGTCTAGATTTTACGGATAAAACTATTTTTTATCAATCTCTACACTGTTGTCCCTCTCCACTGAGCAGGAGATATTTACCTTCAAGAAAATTTTAAAATCATCCTTGTCATTTTAAGCTTTCTAAATTTTTTTCAATGTAAGGAGAGAAGGACAAGAGTGTAGAGATTGATAAAAAATTGTTTTATTTGATAATAAAAATTTGAAAAAAGTTGGGAAAGTTGCGACCGGTTCCTTGGTTTTCAAAACATTGCTGATAATTGAAAAAAATTTAGAAAGCTTAAAATTTCAAGGATAATTTTAAAACTTTCTTGAAGGTGAATATCTCCCGCTATTTCACACTTGAAGAGTTCCTTTGCCTTCTATCTTCATTTATAGTTGAAGCTCCGGACTTGAAACCAAATTGAATTTGATTGAAAGATCATGAAAATAACCTTTGTCTGCCACTTGATCAACTTTTGAAAGCACTTTTGAAATAAATGACAATCACAACAACTACTTTTGACTTTTCTTCTACCTTTTCCCTGCTTTTTGAATTGTAGCATCAACTTTATTAAAGTATCAACCATGTTTGAATGTCGGTAAAGCCGGCAAGAAGAGATTATTTGTTGGCAAACACATCTTGAAAAGCAAATATTTTTGCCTTTTAATCCTTGAATTCTCTCAATTCGTCAAGGAAAATTGGTTCATATAGTCATTTTGAAGAATTCTTTTGAGTTCCTTCCTGAATTAATTTATCAATATTTTCTAACCCAAAACACACGTCTTCATTACTTTGAGCATAATCTTCTGAATTTGATTGAGAATAGCCATCTTGATCTTGATCAGAAGTTGATTTCTTTGAAGAAGATTCAACCAATGCATTTAATCTTGTCCGAAATAATTTGTAATTCTTTCGGAGTTTTACATTGACTGAACATTACCGTTAATCTTAATTTTTCAGTAAGAAAATCGGCATCTTTCTCTTGAATTTTCTTTGATATTTTTGGAATGCCAATATTTCTTTGTTCTTGAATTAATGAATTTACAGCCTTGGGGCAGCAATTTGTCTCATGAAATTTAGACCACAATTTGACTTTAAATCTCTGAAGAATTCTTTTGATATTGTAAATGGAGTTTGGATCTTGAATAATATGGAAATCCCAACAAAATATCCATGATACTTTGAGATTGAGGGCAAATTGGAACAATAAATTTTCTTGAGGCTTCGAAAATGTTTTTACCTCTTGTTTGAAATGTTCGAATCTTTGATGAATAAGACTAGGTAAAATTTTCTCATCAAGTCCAAAACATTTGAACCAACTTTGAAACCATTTTGGAAAATGAGTTTGACATGCTTGATGAAAAAGAATAAACCAAGAATGAGTCACTGGTCTAAAGTAAAACATTATAACAAGCATCATCTTTGTAATCCAAATAATTGAAATGAGATTCAAATTATTCATCTTTTGAGAAATGAATTCTTTTCTCATTCCAACCTTGTTGTCCCAGTCTTTATACGACAACACCCTTTGGATACTGATTTTTTGAAAAATCAATGTTTTTTGGTTTTTGAGGATTTGGAGTATGAGTTATGATAGCTGATCCATTTTTAACAAGGATAGCTTCATAAAACTCTCTGGATTTTTTTGATATTGGTAGGCAAATATTGAAATTGAGGAGGCTGAAGATATTCATTTAAAGATGAATATCTATTTATCCACGAATTTTCCATTTAAAGAACGGGAATATAAGCGGATTTGGTAAGATATTGAAAAGATTTTGGAGGTTCAACATCAGGTAATTTTCCTGAATCAGCTTGAACAGCTTTTTTGAAAGTTGAAGGCTTAATTTGTTTAGGAACATTTTTTGTTTGAGATGGCTTTTTGAAAACAAGGGTTGAAAGGGTAGTATTTTGAGAGGATGAAGAACCTTGTTCTTCTTTTCTTGATGATGATCCTTGAATATAATCATCAATTGAAAATAAATGAATTGAATTCTTTTGTCTACTTTGCTTCTTTTGAAATAATGATTCAGAAGAGGCCATTGAAACACTCTCAAATTCTCAGTGTTTACTCTCTTTTCAGTAAGAAATCTCTTGCAAGAAAATTTGCAAGAAAGTTAAATTTTCCTTGTATATATAAATTTTTGAAATCAAAACATGAAAATATTGCTTGCCATCTGGCAAAGATTTGTTTGGAAACAAGATTTTTTACATTTTTTTGTAAAACATCTTTGGATGTTTTGCAATATGTTTTTAAAACAAATTCTTTAATGATTAAATCATCTAGAAATTTTGAAATACATAAAACAATAGATAAATTTCTTTTTTGATAATAGAATAATTTCTTTGAGGCATGTCCAAACACAAGAATGAAAATGGACAAGTTGTTCTTGATTTGACAATTTTGGAATCTGCTTTAACACTCCACCATATCCTGATGCATCAGTTTCGACAATAATGGAGGCAGTAGAGTCTAATATTGACAAACAAGGAATACTTTTGATAGCATTTTTGACATTTTTGACGTCAACGGTATGCTCATGATTCCATGGGTCCAGATCCTTTTGTAATCTTTTGAAAAGAGGGGCACATATGATTCTTATCACTTCGATAAAATGAAGAAGAAGAAGAATTGAGTGATACTTTAGAGAACTTCAATATCATTTAATATATCAACTCAGTTGTTTACAATATTAAATATTAATAGTCATCATTATACATAAAGGTTGAAATGGAATTTTCTACATTTTTCAAGATTCTAGTCATTTTATACTCAAAATTCATATAAAAATACAAAGTTACCAAAATGAAAAATAAATAAATAAAAAAGAGTCTAACTCGACAGTTATAATATGACGAAAATAATTTAATGACATAAGCATATTTTTGTTGAGTATTTAATGAAAGTTACTTGTCAAAAGTAAATATTTCTCCTCGATGGAAAAGAACTCAACTTTAGTGAGCCAAACTATCATATTGGTCTAATGTATTATATAAAGACATCAAAACTCCTCTGTCGTTATCCAATTATATTCGGGTGAACAATATATTTTGTAGATGGATAATACCAAGAGATGTAATTTTTTAAAAAGGGTTACTTTGATACCAATTAATGGCATGAAAAGGAAAGAAGACAGAAAAAATGGCGAATTGAGAGAAATTTCAGTATCATTGAGTATATCATATCAATTTCCAACATAATCTAGAAATGCTTGTCTTGATTGTACTTAAAGTTCCTGTAGAAATGGAGAGTTGCCAAAATAAGATAAGAGAAAACTTCTAACTTCAAACTAATAATTATGATGAGCACTAAATTAAAATATACTTTCTATTTAACTCCTGCAGTAAGCTTATATATTTTATACGTCTTTATTGATATTTCTTTCATGCAAATTATATCAAATATCGTTTCAAATGAATAATTCTTGGTATTAATGCTTCGTAACAACTAAAAACGTGCAAGAACTTAAAATAATCAAATTATAAAACAGACTCATCTTTCGCCTTGTTAATGAAATAACATGTACATTTATCTCCAGTATTTATTTTACTTAAAAAAATAACAGTCCATTCCAATTATTCTCATCCTTTTTTAATCATGACTACTAATAGAGAAACTCTTTTATACTTCAGGCTGATAATGGAGTGAGTCAGTCAAGATCATGGAATTTAGAAATGAAAAATAGACAAGCAAGATGCAAACTAAATGAATACGTCTGATTAATAAAAGCTAAATAATAAATTAAACATCTAAAGAAAGTACAAGACCTTTTCTCAGAGTCAGGGCCAAAACAGCATCGTTTTCAACCTGAAAACACATGGCAGTATGACTCAGCATATCATGTAATCATACTACTTACTATGCAAAGTTAGTTATAATAAATGTAAGAGCAGTTGATGCGTTAAAATTAAACATACAAAACCCTATATCTGATTCATTTCTTGTATAAATACAAGAAGATGACTAGCTACCTAAAAATAGAAGAAAATATGTACAATTTTCTACATTTTTTCACATTAGTAATTGAGAAAATACCTTCTGATCTGCCAATGATTTTGAATCATCTAACACTTCCCTATTTGGCATTAGTATCAAGCGCTGATCATTAACAGGTTGATCAATGAGATCTTGCAACTTCTCCTTGATTTGTAAAATTGTCTCACTTGGCACACATGTCAGAAAGTAAGTAATCTTATCACGCTTGATGCGAATATACATTGCCTGTGTGAAAAAATAATCAAGCAATCCAATCTATTAGCTTGAATCAACCACTGTAGCAAACTGATATGTCGAACATACTACAAGATATTCATCCCATAACTAAATTACAATCCTTCATGAACAATCAAATGGAAATGCGACGAATAAGGACCTTCAATAGGTTCCATTAAGGTACATTTAAACATCATCCAAAGCCCTTTCTGCACCTTGGAATTCAAATACATGAACACATGCAACAATCATCATCAAAACCAGTCAAATCACAACCTTCACAAACCAATAAAATTATCCATAATAGAACAGGACAAATTTCATATATATCTATCTCCTCTTTTCAGTCAACTACAAAATCTTAATGTATTTTGATTGATCGATGTCTATAAACAATGTAGTGCACCAGCTAAATTAATGCTTAAATTCTTACTACCTAATCATTATGTTTGGTCCAAAATACCAACCAGTGTGCTCCTCGAAACCACTGACAGATAATATTTAGAAGCTTAAGAGTTGACGGCATTCATATCCAGGTTCCAATTCATTGACTTGCATTCATAAATAGGGTCGCATGTGCCATTGTTTACATTGTTTCTACAATTCTAACATAACCAGAACTTGTTCAATTGATTGCATATGACAGAAAGATGTACTACCTCACCTCAGATCAAGGTGACAAGATTTGAACCTGTGTCCTACGTACCCAAAATGCACCGAATAGACTGCAATACACTAGAGAATATATCACAAGAAGTTCCCTTGCTAGTTGCTACACTGTCATTTTATTATATCCCCTGTTTAATTTAAAGCATGTATTTTGGAAGAGAGGTTGCCCTATTTTCTTAATGACTTTCGAGTTGTCGTGGTCAAGGGGCCAAGGTTCAAAGGAAATTTGGCCACATTAAAACTAAGACCAATTGTTCGTGCAATTCAAGGTCCTTGGCTTCTTCTCCTAAGAACAAGTGAGAGCCTACTGTCCAATAAAGGAGAGTGGCTTTCCCTCTCTTAGAAAACAAAAACGTAAAAAGGGAAAAGATTTATGTCACAGTCAGGTATCTTCTCAGATCAACTAGTTTTTAACTAGTTCAATTCAGTGTGATTTGAAGTCATCATATGGCCATTAATATGCAGCAAACCCAACTGCTTCATACTCCATTTAATAAGAGCAACATTAATATATTGATTACATTCTGCGTGTGATGGACTATCACGATATTAGACTTCGTTTTAACAGTAAATTTGATTCAGAAAGGTAAAATATTCACTATTTGGAATAACAAATGCAGCTCCCTAATATGATTCTCAGTCGAACACTCAAACAACCTCTATTGTGATTTCCCCTTTTTCTTATTATCAACAATTTATTTTCAATATCATTTCAAGCATAAGTCAGAGATCAAACCTTTATAGATTTAGAGCAGAATTTATGATCTCCTTACTGAATTAAAGCTACCAACAGAGACATAAAAGAGCAGAATTTCATTAACATCTAGCAGGGATAATCCTAACTTCAAAATGAAGGAGAACTGTACATATCCATCCAGCTCAACAGTCATCAATAAAGGGAATAATTCTTGATGGGTCAAAAAACAGTTACACATTAAAAAACTCAAATTATTGAATTGAACCATATTTAAAATTTCAAGATCACCCATAAACATCTAAAAATTAGGTTCGAGTAATGTGACATGAAATTGAGCTGTTTCTAGGACAATTGACTGCTTCTGATATGTATATAACATCTACAGACGCAGGAAAGTTTCAAGGAGATGAATCAGTGTAAGGAAATCTAACCGTTTGATCATCCGGGCTATCTGGACGCGATGACTGCGACATATTACCTCCAGAAATTGAGGGTCTTCTTTATTTGTTTTAATAGTTTGGTAATTGGTACCGGTAGAGTGAAAGTTTCGATTATTCGATATTGTGAAACGAGAAACTGCGAGAGTTCAACCCCAATAAAGCCATGTTTGGTTTGCAAGGCTAATTTTGGTGAAAGCGCGAGGAGATTATTTGTAGCTTTAAGTAATTTTTTATTTTTTTTCAACTAAGAAATTAGGGTAAAATGTTACGTACTCAAATTGCAAAAGGCTTTACTTCCATATCTAAAATTTATAGGTACTTCACATATTCGTAGAATACCAATTTTTAAAGAGTAAGAAATTGATTATAGTTATTTCACGCGTTTACTCGCTAACAATTAAAAAGGGATCAAACGATTGTGTAAGGGACAAACCTCTTGAAACAAAATCTCAAAAAGAGGTGTTTATTGAATATGAAGATTACAGTTTGAACGCGAACAAGATGCTTCCAAGGGGCGCAAGCACACAAGTACAAGGGAATTGAAATAATTGAAATTAATCTAAGAAAAAATAAATTATATATTTCTCTGTTTGAGAATGAATTTTGTCAGGCTTATTTTCGTTGTCTTCTTCTTTCTTTTATACGGTTTGAGCAGTTTCTAATCGTTTAGAAACTGTTTGTAACTACCCATTTCTTTCATAATGGCCGACTGGCCAATAACTATCGTGTGTAACTCCTATCACCACGTCTTATTCATAACTGCTTATCCCAACTTTCGCAAATCGTGGGGCGTAATTGTAATGTGCTCAAACCGTCTTAAATTTCGATTTTGGATAATAGCACGCTTTAGTCATTGTTGGGACTCTGGGCGACTCAGCATTTTTTGGGCGACAATTGGTCTTCTGCTCTGGACGATTACAGGATACTTCATTCGCTCAACATCTGAGC